ATGGTTTGAATAAATTCAAAGGTATTTTTCTGTCGCAAAAAAAATTAAAAAAAATGATATCGTCTTACTATTTTGATATAATATTTCTCTTTTCATTTATTTTTTTATCTTCCTGTCTCTTTGTCTCTATCTCTGTCTTTTCTCTTTATCTCTTTCACTTATCACTCTTCTTTCTCTATATGTCTGTTTCTCTCTCTCCTTTTCTCTCTGTGTCTCTCGCCTATCTCTCTGCTCTCTATCTCTCTCATCTATCTTCTCTCTCTGTCTCTCTCGCTCATCTCTCTTCTCTCTCTCTCTTATCTTTCTATCTCTCTTTATCTCTCTTCTTTCTCTGTCTCTCTCTTTTTCTGTGTCTCTCTCTGGCTTATCTCTTTTCACTCTATTTCTCTTTCTTTTTGTCTATCTCTCGCTCATCTCTTGTTTCTCTCTCTTTTTCTGTCTATCTCTCTCTCTCTCCCTGTCTCTCTCTCACTCTGTATGCTTGTCTATTTCTCCCTCACTATGTTCGCCTTGCTCACTTTCTCTCTCTCATCTTCTCTATTTATCGAGCTCTTTCTTGATTTATCGATCTACTATAAGAAAATACACTTTTAGCAACCACTTTGTCTCTCTCTCATTCATCACTCTGTCTCTGTCTCTATCTCTTTTCTTTATCTGTCTCTCACAAAATTAAAATATTTTTAAAATATTTAAAAAAATTGATTTGAATTAAGTTTTGAAAAGAGCTTTAAATTATGTGTTTGGTTATAAGTTTGGGTGATGATTGAGACCCCCTCCAATCACCACCCCCACCACTCCTCACATACACGTGGCGGATGGTGATTGGAGGAGAAGGAAAAAAAAAAGAAAAGAAAAAGAAAAAGGGACCAATCATGGGAAGAGGGGGTCAAGGGGGTGAGTAAAAAAGGGGGTCCAAGTCATTATTCTATAAGTTTTGAAAAGTGATAATTATATTTTGAATTGAGTTTTGAAAAATGGATGTAGAATTATGATTTAAAAGCTTAAAACAAACACCATACTTAAATCAATGGGTGGAACTATGACCACCACCACTACTGCCACTACTACTACCATTACCTCTCATCCACCATCGCCACTCCATCTCCTCTACTACTACCACAACTTCACCACTAATCTCTTTCGCCCCCGCCAGGGGTTTAGTATCTTTGGATACGATTCCTTATAGTTCGGACTCCCGTGGTTTTGAATCTGGTTTCACAAGTGCAATGTGAAACAAAAAAAAAAAAAAAAATGAGCCGCGGAAAAATATTTTTTATTAAAATATTACCCCTACTTCTTCGAAATAAAAAAATAATAATTTTTTTATTAAAATAAAAATGAAACAAATAAATGTTCAACCTTAGTAATTAAAAAAAATGAAAAATAAAAAAAAAATCATTAGCTACAAAAAAATAAATTTATTTTAACCAAAAAAATTTCATTTTCTAGCTCATTAATTCTCCAATTTCTTTTCCTCCTTTTGTTTCTCACGATCTCAAATCATCAATCCCCAATCCCTTAAACCAAAAATTCCCAATTTCAAAAATCTCCTAAAAATTACTTCTACTTCTACCAAATAAAAAATAATAATAATAATTTTTTTTTCATTAAAATAAAAATGAAACAAATAAATTTTCAACCTTAATAACTAAAAATAAATAAATAAAAAAGTTTCATTAACTAAAAAAAAAATTATTATTTTAATAAAAAATAAATAAGACGACGTATATCTTGGCTCTCCTCTTCATTTTCTTTTTCGTTTTCCCGCTCTTTCTAATTCCCCCCTTTCTTTCCCCCCGTTTGTTTCTCACTCACGATCTCAAATCCCCAATCCCCAACCCCTTAAACAAAAGAAGAAAGAGTAGAGACAGAGGAGCACCGACCTGACCTAGCGAAACTAGCCGCCTGTGTGTTGCTGCTGAGTGCCGACCTGGGTGCCACCGCTGACCACCAACGTGGGTGCTGCTACTGACCATCGACTTGGTTGACCATCGACGACCACCAAAAATCTCCGTATGTCGTTCTCTATCCGTGAATTGCCGACCACCGAAAATCTCCCTTTATCGTTCTCCCTTTGTCTTCAACTCTTTGCATAGGTCTGTTTTTCTCTTCAACTCCCTCTTCTGTAATATGTATATGTGTATATATATATATATATATTGAAGCCTATGAAATGTTGGAATATAAGTCCTTCCATTTTATGCTTTGAAGGTGTTTGATGATTTGCTGGTGTTGAAATGGTGAATTAATGATCTAGGATAGTTAATATTTACAAAGATCCTAAATTTTGAACTCAGTATAAAGAATTTCCATGACAGAAATAATGAAGGAGCTTGAATCAATATTTATGTTAAAAGAATTTGAATCAATATTTATGTTAAAAAGGATTTTTTTATTTTTTTTATTTTTATTATGTTTCTCAGGGAAAACAAGTTCTGTGGTTTTTTTTTTTTTTTTTTATCTTCATAATCTGTAAATTAAGAACTGGGTTTGTTCCCTTGAAATCTAGTTCTGGGTTTTGGTTTGATAGTTGATTCAATACTTTTGCAATTATGATCTGTTTATAAATATTAGGCCATTATGATGGCCACTTCAATTCCAAATTTTTGGAATAGGTGAGGAGTTGGTGTTTTGGTTCTGTTATTATTGTTGGAGTAGTCTTCTAGTTTTTAATTTCATTAATGTTTTGATATATTTGCAATATAATCATTTGGGACTAGCTTAACTTCATGTGTAATTTATTTTCTGTTATAAATGGTGTTACACGGGGTTTAAGTTTCATGTGTGGGACATGATAGACAGTAATATGTTTTATAGGCAACATTATAGACTCTATTGAAGTGATATGAAATCACTTTATTTCAGTCTGCAATGTTGGTATTTTGCTAATAGAAAGTCCCTCTAGCATTAATCTTTTTAGGATAGCGTTGAGGTAGGAGCCCAACATATTCAACATAGATAATGTCCTCTTTTTTAATAAGTTCAGATTGATGTAAAGCATGGTGTATTGTTGTAGGCATGTAGAACTTGGGAAATGTGATATGTATAATATTAAATCATCAATCATAAGAGAATTTTTTAGGATATAGAAGGAGAAAATATGGTTCATTTACTTCTGTTCATGCTTGGAGAGGGGAGAGGATGTAGAAGGAGAAAATATGGTTCATTTACCCCTGTATTTGTATCCATTCCCTTATCTAGTTTTAATGTGTTACGTAACGGATAAAATTCAAAACTATGATTATTGGATTGAACATTTTTGCCGACAAGTGTGCAAACATATTTCTGTCAGAAACAGAGGCGTTATGGATTTGCGATGGATGTAGCTAAAATTGCTATTTTCCCCATTATGCATTTAATTTGTTTTGAAAATGTAGTCCACATGTGATGTGGGTCATTGATTTTTGAATTGTTTGTAATCTGTTAGGTTGATTTTTGATTGTTGTATGAGCTTCACTCTGTAATATCAGTATGATTGATGTTAATTGACTAAATTTGTGCTTGTGGAAAAACATAGTTGTTTGAAGATGGATGCATTTGATAATTACCCCATGACTAAAATAATGGAGCATTAAAGCATTAATAGCCCCATGACTACTTTAGTTTCATTCATGATTCCTTTTGGAATCTAGATTTGGTATTATTAGCTGCAGTTAGTGACTAAATCTTGACACCATGTTTATGATTCTAGTTTTAAGTTTGCTTGCCTTTGTGCTTTTAGTTGCCTAGCAATCTCCTTATCTGAAATTAATGGAGCATTTTGCGCTTTAAAAAATAGTTACTGAGGAACTTGAGCATTTCCAACAAGCCTGAATTAAAGGGAAAGACAACAAGCATATGCATTATTATTTTATTGATTAGGATTAGTGGGGGGGGTGTCAGGATGCACTTTAGACATTTATTTGCTTGTATAAATATAAATATATGGGAACATGAATGTTAATTATCAATTGCATTGATGAGAATCTATTGATTATGTATATTGTGAACTCAATGCTACAGTCACAGTGAGATTCACAGTTTAAAGATTTGAAACCTTAAATATGTTGTGTCACTGTAGAATTAATATTTAATTGAAGGCATAGACCTCTCGGTAATATTTTGAAACCAGATTAGACCGGCTAGTTCAACCGATGAACCCATTCGCTAGTCATGTTTTTGGACGGTAAAATATGTGTTTGTAAAAACCGGCAAAACACATGTTTCAGCCGTTGAAGTGAACCACCATAGCACCACATTCCTTTGAACACATTGGTAATATAAATTATTTGTTACATTAACTTCATTTTCCATTAAACACAAGATTAATTAACGTTCTATGTATGTATAAATTTATGTATTTGGTTAACATATTTACATAAATATGTGTATCCTAAAATGTAAAAGTAGTTTAAATAAATGTTTCTTCTTTATTTTTTATTTTTTATTTAAATATATTTTTATTGTTTTCAACTCATCTATCCTTTTCAGTTTAATGTGAAAGTTACAGGACTTGGCCTTGTAATACATCAGTTTCTTATCCAACAAGAAATGTAGAAAGGCAGGGCTTAAAACATATCCACTTTTTATATGGTTTCTTGCTATGTTGTATGGAGCAATCTCTAGCATGTATAGTTAAACTATTTATGGAGGGTGATTGGAAGACCATCTTACATCTTTCTTTTATTCTTTTGTTTTTTGGCTATCAAGATACAAATCTATTTATAAAGAGGACCACAAAATTTTGGAGATAAATTGTTCTGGACTGATAATTTGGGCATTCACTCAATTCCCTTTAGTTATGTTTAGTTCTACATGTATCCTCTATTTGTCTCACTTGAGTCTTGCATTTTTTGTATGCCAATTGTTTGGTCTTGGTTCTGAGTTTTGTGAATGCTTACTGTCATATCTAAACTTGGACCACGAGTGGCATGATTTATATGGTCACATGCATATTCTTGGTGCTTGTAAAATTTATCTAACTTATCTGCAGTCATCTCTGAACAGATCAGCTTCAAATCTTCCAGACAGTACTGGCGTTCTTTTGCTACATCTTTTTCTGCTCAATCTGGTGCAGCCTCCCCTGTTTTTCATCACACAAGTGAGTTGATTTTGCTGAGTATTGCTCTATATTTTCCATCAAATTTTATATAATATAGAAATTTCCTTTTACAGGAACTATTCAAAGGCTACATAACCTTCATGAGAGTTTTAATGTTCCCAACATGCCTGGCACACTTGTATCTAGAAACTCTACAATAAATAATGTTCCTTCTAGTTGGGTTCAACAGCCTACTGGAAGCCTTTCTAGTGGACGTTTTGCATCAAACAATCTCCCTGTTGCTCTTTCTCATGTATGTGTTAGTTTTGCACATATTTATTAGTTGGTATTTTTCATTCACTGGTGTTTCACTATGTTTGCTAAATTAATTTCTTTCCTGATCTCTACCCAATTGTGTATTGTTTTGTATTGCAGATATCCTATGGAAGCTCACATGGTCATTTAGGGGTGACAAATAGAGGTGGAATGAGTGTTGTTGGTAGCCCTGGATTTTGAAGTAACGCAAATGGAGTTGGTGGTTCCATTCCTGGAATCATGAGGGAAATTTTTGTTTTTGATTTACGTTATTTTGAATTGTGAACAACATTATGTATTTAAACATTGTGTATGTATTATGCAATATTATGTAGTGGGATAATTTTGCTAATGTGTTGTAATGAATGAATGCAAGAATATTTGTATTATGAATGGATTTTTATTTTTATACTGGAATTTTTATATTATTATGTAATTATTGATTTCCTTTTCAATTATTTTTTATTTAATACAGGTAATTTTCATATTTTTAATAATTTTATTGTAGTTTTTTTTTTTTTTTGAGACGGCACCACATCGCCGTTGCAAATGATATTGGTAGAGTTGAGACAAAAGTTTTTTGCGATGGTATTCTTTGCCGTCGCAAATAATCGACGCATCGTGCTGTCCCAACTATTTTTTTAGCGACGGCATTATTCCGTCGCAATAAAAATTCTTTGGCGACGGCATTTTTTGCCGTCGCAAATAACACCGTTAGCGACGGCAACATAGTGCCGTCTCAAAAAAATTCAGATTTTTTTCATATTAATGGTGACAGAAAAATGCCGTCGCAAAAAGACAACTTTGCCGTCGCAAAAAAAAGGCGACGGCAACATGCCGTCGCTAAAACCTTTTTGCGACCCCCTTTGTTGCGACCCCCCACTTGCCGTCGCTAAAAGTCATCTGCCGTCGCAAAAAACCTTTTGAGTATTTGCGACGGCATTTTGTCGTTGCAAAAAGTCAATTTTTTTGTAGTGTACCCTACCAAAACTCACCATCATCATCAACATCAATATCATTGTTTTTTATTATTTTGAAATCCTAAACCCTAGAAAAAGTTTGAACAATATCAAATAATGATGGGAGTAATAATCAAAATAGTTTTTTGAAGTAACTGATTAAAAATGAGGTAAATATTCATATAAAGGGGTTTCACAATTTTTGTAGAGCACCATCAATTATTTTTTATATCATTTTTTTGGCAAAAATTAAAGGGCCCAGTAATTAAATTAACAATAACATATTATTGAAATTGTTCTTATTTTATTGTTTAAATTGATAACTACTTTTTGTTATTAGTGCCCAATGCTTATGTGCTTATAAGTTTGGTTTTTACTTTTCCACGAGCATTCTTGTGGATAATTTATAATGTAAAAGTTTGGTTTTTCTGTATTTATAATACTTATGTGCTTATGTACTTATAAGTTTGATTTTTTTTTCTGTATTTGAAAATTATTTTCTGTGTTGAAAAAATTTGAAAAAATTTAGTTTGTTTCTTATTAATTATTTGGGTTTACTTTGAAGGTAATTTGAAAAAAATAATAAAGTGTAATGTAGAGTAAAATAAAATTTTAAATAATTAAGTAAGGTATATTTAAAAATTAGGAGCACTTAATTTTTTTTTTTTAGTGTAAATAAAATCCCATTTATTTACTGATTTATTGTACACCATTTTTGGCTTTTAAAAGTTGGTTCATTTTCCAAGTAATGGCATCAAGTTTGAATGGATTAACAGTTAGGCCTTGATTGTTTTGCCTTTTAGATGGTGGGATTGGAATAATAATCTCGTGGATCTTATAAAATTCAAATTTGATTTTGTTATATTGTCATGATCCAAACCCGTCCCTATGGGTTAAACACCGTAACCGGCCAGTAATCCGAGATTACCGAAGGCCTGCTTAACAGTAATACAGTAATACAGAGTACAGGGGCTGACGGAAGCCAATACAGTAATCAAACAATGTCCAATGAGCTGTGACAGTCTGTATGCAAAAAAACTTTGTATTCAAATATAGATACAGTCAAACAAAACAGTATGTACAACTATACAATCATTCAGTTCAGGGACCAAATCCCTATCAAACAGTACAGCAACAGTCTATGCAGTCGCACAAAACAGATACAGAGACAGAAGGGGGAACTAAACACCCCTAAGCCATAACTTGACAGGCCCGGAACCTCGCATTGAGGCACATAGGTTGGCTCGACAAAACTGGAGTTTACCCCGACGCTTCTAGCTGCAGTCTGGTGCCTGTACACCTACATATATATATGAGCAGTGAGCTAAAGCCCAGTGAATAACACAATGCGTAAAGAGGTTAAGAATGAATGTCCCTACAGTAATGAAAACGGTTCATTTAATCAGTATTGCAGTCATTCAGTCAGTACAGTCATATGTGGTACATCCATTAGCATAATAGTACAGTAAACAGTAGGTCTTAAAGACCGAACAGTACATGATGGCCATCAGTCAGTAACAGTAGTGATTCCAACGAGGGAACCGACAGAGATCTCTGTAGCAGTATCAGTAAACAGTAGGTGCTAAGGATGCCACAATACAGTTCAGAATATAGGACATACATTCATTCAGTTAACAGTAATCAGTTCAGAAAGCAGTACAGTTTAATTGTTCAGAAGATAATCATTTTGAACATATCTTTACACAGATGTTACTCACAGAGTTCTGGGCTACAGTAAAGCTAGAGCGTGTCCCCAGTCGCCAACCCTACACAGTTACAGATTAACACACACTAAGCTACACAGTTAGGAAAGATAATAGCTTAATCCCTAATGCCTCGGTGTGTTTCTACATCTATATCCTCCTTAAGATGTCTTAAACTAGGCCTAAGACTGTCTAGAATGAGATGAGGATGCAAAGATGCACTTGAAAAAGCATTTCCAGACTTTTCAAAAAACAGGGGTCACGCTCGAGCGTAGGTTACTCCGCTCGAGTGGACATGCAGATAAGGGTTTCTGCTCGAGCGTATACTTACCCGCTCGAGCATTCTGCAAAACAGTCAAAAGTGCTAGATAGGTGAAAATCACGCTCAATTGGGCGCTCGACACCCGCTTGAGCATGAGACACAATGTCCCGCTCGAGCGTCAATTAATCCGCTCGAGCGAACTTCAAAATAGAACAAAAATGCTAGGAGCACGATTTCCACGCTCGAGCGCCAGCCACCCTGCTCGAGCGTGAGTCCAAATTCTGGAAATTCCATATTCGAACCTCAATCTCAAAACCAAGTTTTTAAAACATAAATTTCGATCCTCTTGGGCCAATTTTCCAGAAAACACATCAAAACTCATAGTTTAACATGATTCAAAGCAGACCAATTTCCAAGAATATGAAAAGCATGCAAACATGCATGAATTCAAACCAAATTTCAAAGCTTCAAAACATGCTCTAGAGAGCCAATTGTTCCAAAAACAAGATGAAAACATGGACTACTCTCAAAACATGGACATGCATGTGAGGAATGTGAACTACAACCTCAAAACTTCAATATATATATATACATGCATGCAACAATTAAGCTACAATTCAACAAGTAAGAGCCATAACTTGGCTCAAGGCTTCAATTTGCTGTAAAACATGCAAGAATTTACTTAAATTCCACAATCAAAAGGTTGAACTCCTTACCTAAAGCTTGAAAGGCACGTCTAGAGCTACAATTATGCAAGAGTCCTTCCAATCTACTCAATTTCCAAGTAAACCAAGCCAAATGAGATGAAACTAACTCTCTCTCTTATCTCTCTCTCTCAAGTCGGCAAGAACAAGGAGAATGGACTGATGAAATGTTTGATTCAATGTGTATACAAGTCACAAAATGTGCAAAGTAGTGGCCACTAAGTGGTCTAATTGTAAATAAATCTAATTCATGTCATTTGGTACCATTTAATCTAATTTAATCATACCTAATCTGTCACGACCCAAACCCGGCCCTATGGGTTTAGCACCGTAACCGGCCAGTAATCCGAGATTACCGAAGGCCTGCAGAACAGTAGAACAGTAAAACAGAGTACAGGGCCTGGCGGAAGCCAAAACAGTAAATAAACAATGTCCAATGAGCTGTGACAGTCTGTATGCAAAAAGACTTTCATACATATATACATAATCAGTACAGAACAGTATGCACAAAATGCACAATCATTCAAACTAAGGACTCAACCCTTCACATCACAGTACAGTAAGCATTCGGTCTATACAAAACAGTAAGACAGTATAGAAGGGGGAATTGTAAAACACCTCTAAGCCTTAACATGATAGGCTCGGAACCTCGCAGTGTGGCACATAGGCTGGCTTGACAAAATTGGAGTAACCCTGACGCTCCTAGCCGCGGTCTGGTGCCTGAACACCTACATATATATATGAGCAATGAGCTAAAGCCCACTGAATAACATAATGTGTAAAGGGGTTAAGAATGAATGTCCTTACAGTATGAAAACAGTTCATTTAAACAGTATTTCAGTCATTCAGTTAGTATAGTCATATGTGGTACATCCATTAGCATATCAGTACAGTAAACAGTAGGTCTTAAAAGACCGAACAGTAGTGATGGTCATCGGTCAGTAAACAGTGGTGGTTCCAACAAGGGAACCGACAGAGATCTCTGTAACAGTAACAGTAAACAGTAGATGCTAAGGATGCCACAATACAGTTCAGAATATAGGACATACATTCATTTAATTAACAGTATCAGTTCAGAAAGCAGTACAGTTCAGTCGTTCAGAAAATAATCATTTGT